ATATGGTCAGCCTAAAGTTTAATGTTCATTCTGATCACATTAGACTGTGCTAACTTTCTCTCAAAGGATGACCCAATGGGTCACAGGGTTGTCTAGTATATTATTAAAATGGAACATATACTACTGAGTAATTTACAGCCTACACAATAAATACCTGCCAAGGAATATGGGGTTAGACTTGATCAACTGAATTATCTCATAGAGTGAGTATTATGATTCTATGAGTCTTACACAGGCTATGGATTGATCCATAAATGCAGAGTTATCTTGGGAAGCCCATGATTTTCAAGAATTGCTAAAGGAATCTGGCCATTTTCTAAGCTGCAGCTTAAATATTAGGAAAAAAATCCAGTTAATAGTACTTTCCAGTTTAGGCTTAATGAAGAACATTTATCATGCCTTATTGATCATTATGAATGTTCTGTACCAAAATTTATTAACATAGTACAAGAATTAAGTAAACCTTCAAAAGGGCTGGTTGTCAAATTTCATGTTTTGATTTAATATACATAAGTTTCTTAATATGGTTTCAGGAACAGTAATATGATTTAAAGAGCTGAACCTGATTTTTTAATATTTTTTATCCTACCTTTATTACTTTTATAAAGAATTCAAGGTGGTGAACATACCTAATACTCCTTCCTCCTATTTTCCCCACAACAACAACCCTGTGAGGTGAGTTGGGCTGAGACAGAGCGACTGGTCCAAAGTCACCCAGCCGGCTTTCATGCCTAAGGCAGGACTAGAACTCACATTCTCCTGGTTTCTAGCCTGGTGCCTTAACCACTAGACCAAACTACACAAAAAAAAAAAATGGAATTAATTAATATATGAAGTACTGTCGATCTACCAGGCATGTGGCAAAGCAAAAAATTACTCTTTTACATTAGAAAATTAGTGCCACCACATATTAATGATCCTGAACTAGCATGTGTTTGTTATCCTAATGAACTGGCAGAATATCAATGTAATGGAAAGACTAATCAATATTATTTGTGTCATCAAGTTTTAATGCATGTTTAAAAACTGAGCTTTTTATAATATGCTTTTGTTTTTGTTTTCCTTTTGTTCTCATTTTTCTTCTTTGTACCTTTTTTCTTCTTTGTATATACCAAAGCAATAGATTTTAAAAAGCACAAAAAGTAAAGGATAATTTTCAGAGACCTACCCTATAGTTTATTTCAACTAACCTGCCAGCATCTGTCTCCTTGAAGATTCCGTCTTGATTGGGACAAAGTTCACAGCTTGGAGAGACACCACATTTGCAAGCATCACAGAACCATGGTTCAGTGGAATTTTCTGAAGCAGAGCTCATAATAGAATCACTTTCACCATCAACACCGTAACAACCTGGAAACAAGGAAAACATGAAGATATTAAAGGAAGGTAATATCAAGTGATCAAGTGCTAAATTTAAGAATCAGAAAAAACAAGGGAATAGAACATGTGATTGGCTCATAATTTCTTTTCAAGAAGGGTCTGTCCCAAACACTAAGTAGGTGAAACTCTTAGAAGAAAAAAAAAAGTCTAAGATTGTGTCCCGAATGTTATGGTACTCTTTCAGGAGACTTGGTAATGCACTCAAAGTACACGCATTTAATTTGTCTATTTCACTATGAATTCTGATCATATTGGTTTTATAAATAATCAAAGAATACATATGTTAATCCATATGTAATACATAAGTACAGTAATACACATGTCAGAAATGATAGTGAGGACATTTCAAAGACTTCAGATTTCTAGAGGGAAAAGTCTATAAAAAATAAAAATGAGATATCCTTTTAAAATCTCTGTAGAAGCCCCTATACATTTGTGTTTTCCCCATAATTGTGCTGATTGCTCCTTCAGGCAAATGAAAGCTGCAGTTTTTAAAAATCAAAAAGCTACTAAATGGTTCACTGGATCACATTTTGCAATTGTATGTGATAATAGCTTTACTGGAGTCTTTTCCTCCTTGGCATCATGGTGGTTGTACTCCCTGTAGCCACACTTGCTATGAATTTTAGGAAAAGCAGCCACAACATTTAGGGAGAGCACTTAGTTGGAGAAGGCTCTCCCACTGAATCACAGATCTCTGCAAGAAAAAAAAATCTTTTGTTGATTTGTAAATTTGACTATACAGTATGGTAATTAGTTATTGACAGAAAAAAAATCTTCAGGAATACACAATATTTTAAAGCAAACTCTGTTTCAAACCATTCTAAGAATGGTTAAGTAGCACACTAAGCACCACTTAATAACAACATAACAGTAAGTAGAGAGCCCTAAAGAAAAAACAAGAGAGGTTTTACAAGAATAGGAATAAAGATGACCATCAGATATTTTTCTTTAGACCTTTTGTGATCAGGAAAACTGATACAGCTGGGGATGCTCTGCTATCATAATTCAGTTTAGAGAATATTTGTTTAAAGACGTCCATAAAAATGACAGAACAGCTTCAGAATTTCATTTTTAAAAACGGAATATTACAAAAGAACATTTATAAAAAAGCACTTTAAAAATGAATTACACTTCTTCACTTAGACTAAGCAACACCTTCTAAAAGCACTGTTAATATATTATCAAACACATGATTTTAGACACCTAATAAGCAAAAATTCTATTACGAACAGGGGAACAAAAAAAGAATCTATATATTGCAGAAACCATGACTAGCCTATTGTGTGAAGATACTTTTAATATAAGGAATGCTTTCCATCTTCCATGTTTGTTTTCTTATGATTAGCTGTTTAATTTATGACTGTAGGAGTAAATGGTACCTATTAATTTATATTGGAGAATAAACTAGCATCAGAAATCAGCACTATCAGGCAGTTGCCAGGGCCTACTGCTAACCCCAAAGGTTAGGGACTATTGCATAGCTAGGGCTATGAAAGGGTGGAATGTTGGATTAATTATATTTCACAGATGGGAGGGATCAGGACTCTCAGGATAAATTTTGGTTGCCACTTTCTTATCATGCCTATCCCTAGTCTGAAAGAAATCTCTCCTAATCTATTTAAAAGGAATCTTATTTCATGTAAAGTTTATGATTTGAGAAAAAATAATTATTGGGGTTGGAGTGGATAGTTAAATCTTAGCTTCAACTATATGCAACGTGACTACATATGCATATAATATAAGTAAAATGTTTCTTCTCAACCAATCATTCTGATGTAATTTCAGGGCATTTGATGGTACCTTTCCATTAGTTTCAGTAAGAATATATAACTGCAAATCAAAGCTCCTCAACTGAAAAATAATACACTAGCATACCTGCTACCAACATTTAATACATACATTAATAACATTTTACCTTAAAAGACTGGCAAAAACACCTACTCAATGTTTTTTATTTCTACTCAGAACTCAAGGTCAGACTTTATTACCCAAGCCATTTAATAAAAAGGATTATGGCAGGCATAAAGAGAACAGTGTTTAATTTCTCTTCCAGTAGAGGAAAATACAAATAGTTGGCAGTCATAACTGATGAAGGACAGTAATAACAGTAACAGGTTTCTTCAGACAGATTTAAAAAAGAGAGAGAAAAGAATAAAGATGTCAATGAAGATTCAAAATTCTAACAGGCAGCACAGAAAAGGGAGAGTCCTCAGTTCTATTTTTGGCTTAGTCTTCTCCAACAAGTGGATATATGTCCCAACTGCCATTTATAAAGAGTAGAATGAAGGGCCAGGATTGAAGATTCAGTCTCAGAGAAACATGTGCAGGGAGTCTCTATAACCCGGCCAGGAGAAGTGCAACCTAAGGTATTGAAAAAACTTGCTAATAGTCTTGCCAAACCTTTCTAATCTATAAGAAATACTGGATAATGGGTGAAGTACCACATGAATGTCCCTATGATTAAAAAAAAAAAAGTGGGGGTGGGAAGAAGCATACACGATACAAGCAGTCCTCACTTAACGATGATAACTGAGACTGGCAACTCCATCATTAAGCAACACGGTTGTAAAGCACATTGTCACATGACTGCACCCACTTATGTTGGCAATTGCAGCAATTCCAGTTGCCATGGTTAAGTGAATCCTACGCGGTTGTTAAGCACAATGTCACATGATCACTATTTGCGACTTCCTGCCAGCTTCCCTACTGACTTTGCTTGTTGGAAGCCGGCAGTGAAGATCACAAATGGTGATCACATGATCACGGGATGCTGTGACCGTAATTGCAAGCCAGTTGCCAAGTGCCTGAATTGTGATCATGTGACTGTAGAGACGCTGCGATGGCCACAACCACGAGGACCGATCATGAGCCTCCTCATTCAGTGCCACTGTAACTTTGAATGGTTGTTGAACGAGCGGTTGTTAAGCTAGGACCACCTGTATTACACACCAGACAATATGATCAATAAGTGTGGAAAATGCAGGGATTTCTGATTAGTCCTTCATTTCTGTATGTAAAGAAGCAGCAAACAATCAGTTAAAGAACTACTTGTCATCTGTATTAAAAAATAGTTCTTTCAAAGTTGATACCTCAAGCTGCTGGCTACTGCAATCTCTCAAACCTTAAGCAATATCATTTTTAATGATTATGCATATGCACTATGCATTTGGTTGTACATACCCATGAGCTACTATTAATTACATTATCAAACAATTACAAAATGCATTCATTTAAACTACTCATAAACAAATTCACTTAATATTTCTAAGTGAACAGTAATGCTTCATTACTCACAGTAAGTTGAAGACATGATAGAATTACCTTCATGTACTGTTATTCCACAATTGTCACACTGGATTATTTCATCAGCATCTTCACTATTATCCCCAAGGCAAACACAACAAATCATAATATGGTCCATTTTCTGGGAGCTCCAGTTTTGAGATTTTTCAAGAATCAGCGAGTCCTATCAATAAAAAGTGTAAACGCACTAATTAGATTGGAAAAGGTGCTATAGCCAATTAAAATTTTCTTGTGTTTTAATTACATTATGTTTATAATTATATTATAGTTGACCGATTTAGTTATTCAGTCCTTTTATTTATCTGTTGTATAATATTATATGTGGACGTGGTGAATAAGTGAATGATGGGCCAATTACAATTACATTGGTCCTAAACAACACTTAACTTATTTCAACACTTCAACAACACTTATTTCAGTGCTCACCCTGTTCCATCAGACTAAGAGAAGATAGGAGAATTAATAGGATTGCCAATATGTTCTGCCCTGATAGGAGAGTGTCTATTTTAAGTGATAAAATGATTGCTTCATCTGAGTAAGCAGAGGCTGTTGCAGATACTGTAAAAGTAATAAAGGCAGCCAGTTTCCATGAACTTAACAAACTGGATGAGTAAACAGAGAGAGCTAGCAGTTTGGTAACAGAATTTAAGAGGCACTTCCTAATAAATTTTCTGTTTAAAGTCAACATTATGTACTCAACTAATCTGACAGCCTGAGGATGGAATATAAATTAAAAAAAACAACAACCTCTTTTTCATGGTATCTTAAGAAATAGAAATGAAGATAAATGGCATGACTCATGGTCATGGACTACAATGTTTGCAAAATTTGTGTTCTGACTGAAAACTACGTGATATTTGTCTGCAACAATGGCAAGCTTGTAGAGGTGCTTGGAAAAAAAAATCAAAGAGAGGATGAAGTGAAATTTATTAGAGCAAATAAATGAAATGCTGCAGGAGTTGCTGAGAGAGGAAATGATTCTCCGTAAGAAAGAATATTAAAATGAAGCAAGCCCAACAAACAAGAGTGACAATTATAAACAAGACATAGGGTTCATATTCTGCACCACTGGAATTCAGCAACAGCTTTGAAGACTTCAGAGAGAGAGAAAAAAAGAGTCTGAGCTTTCATAGAAAGAAAAGGGGCACTGCTGAACAGAAGACAAGAAAGTGGTTTCCTAAAGGGCAGAGGTGTCCCCTGCAAGAGGACATAGAGAATAATCAAATTACCAGGTGACTCATTATTACGATGAACAGAAACAAATGTGTGCTAACCAAGTGATTGATTCATGAAATGTACTGTTTGCCAGGAACAAGAATTATGGATGTCACAAGACAAATTCAAAGACTTATCATATCCATTTACAATTATCCCTTTTTGTTAGTCCATATGAGAACATATGATACTGTTACAAACATGCTCAACTTGCTGTCTCAGATTATATTTCCATCACCATGCTAGAAGAATAGGAAGAGAAAGAAGAGTACTCAGATGTGTGTTTCTGGGATTATGGACTGCGTTATCAGTATGATAAAATGGCACAAGATGAGTTGTACTTCACAAGACTGGTAAAAATATGTTTGCTGAAGTATGGGGAGCTTGATCAGAAGAGCTTTAAACTGAAGCCTGGGAGGATTGATATTTATTTGTGGAACCCCAGGAGGAGTGTGCATCATCCATATCTCTGGGGGATGCTGTTCCAGAGGGCAGGGGCCATGACAAAGAAAGCATGCTTCTCCATCCTGCAAGATGACAAAAATAAAAACTCTGAAGTAAAGTCCTTATATATAGATACAAGCTTGTGCACCACAGGATAAGATGGGAATACTGCTGTAATTGGGTCTAAGTAATTTGATTTGATTAACAAATCCATAAAGAATCCTGGCTCATAAACTGTATGCTCTTTGTTACCTATACTCTAATGCTTGCAGTGACAAGCTTCAGTTCTTAGTACAGAAAGACAAATCTGATGTACTAGACATAACAGAAATCTGGTTGGATGATACAGAAATTGAATAGGAGCAAAAAAAAGAGAGTAGGAATGCCAGTGCATGTTGAAAATAATCATAACAAGCTGGGAAATCTAAACAAATGAACTCAGCAATGCTGTAAATAGTATTCCAGCTAAAATAAACAGATAAGTGAATAAAATCAATATTCTTATTGGTGTTACTACCATTCATTCCACCATGTGGGGGTACTTTCTAAAAATAAAAAACAGAGCTTAAATATAGTAGTGATAGGTGATTTTAATTAACTTGGCAAAACAACTTCATCTTTCCAAGAAACATGTCTTGCTGACAACATTCTCTTTCAGAGGTGGAGGAAGGCACAAGAAATTAAACAAACCTTGACTTGATACTCACCAATGGAAAAGATTTAGTTAGAACATTGGGGGAAAGTGATAATAAAGTCCTGGAATGTTTTATTTTAAAGGAAATTAAAGCTGAATGTAGTTTAAATGCATTACGGTATTTCCAACTTCAGAAAAGCAGTATTTAAAAGAGCAGTAATAGATAAGATTCTGTGGCAAGTAAAACTAATGGGAAAAGGAAGTTAAAATGACTGCAAGTTCTTTTTAAAAAAGTGCAATTGCAAGCAATTTCAATGAGGACAAAAAAAAAACAAAAACAAAGACAAAAGAATCAATGTCATTGTACTGAAAGCTTAGTGAAGATCTAACAACAAGAAAGGCCACATGGAGGAGCCAGAAAGAGGGACACGTAATAAAGGAAAAGTGTATACAGATACCCTGGAACAGAAGAAATGTTGTCAGAAAGGCTAAAGCTAAAAAATGAGATGACCCTCACACTAACAGGTAACACTGAAAAAATAGCTAGTTAATTCTTGTTTTGGCTCAGTCTTCTCTGAAAAGACAGTATATGTTCCACCAAGCAACTGTGAAAAGCTGAATTAAGGGCTTGGATTGAAGGTTGAGACTGACAGAAACAAGTTCAAAGAATACCTATTTACTCTGAATGAGTTTCAACTTCCTAAGCCAGATGAACAGTATCCAAGAGTCTGGTTAAGAACTAAAATACTGCCTATATCTTTATGTATTATTTTTTGAGAAATCCTGGAAAACCGTTTTAAGTGATGAAAGTCAGGAAATGTTGTCCCCAGCTTTAAAAGGGAAAAAGGAAGATAAAGGAAGATTACTTGCAAAGGTTCTAGAGGAGGTTATAAATTGATCTGTAAGCATCTTAAAACAATATACTAAGAAGTTGGCATAGATCTGTTTTTTTAGGGAAAAACTTTATCTAATTTTTGATCAAGCACATTGGTTAGCAGATTGTCAAAATACTGTAGACATAATACACTCTGATTTCAGCAAATCATTTGATTATGTACCCCAAGACATTCTGATTAGTTGAAGGCTAGTTTAATATGCTCTGGGTAGCATGACAAGCTGATATGGAGCTGGTTTGAAAACAGTAATGAAAGAATACTCATCAATAATTCTGCATCTGCAATGGAATGAGATATCAAGTGAAGTGCCACAATTTTTGAACTTGGATGGAGAAGTGGAGTGAATGCTTATCTAATTTGTAGAAGACACAAAATTGGATAGGACAGCTAATACTATAGAAGACAGAAATAAAATTCAAATTAGGCTAAAGAAATTGCTTGAAATATAGTCTGAAATATAACAGACACAAAGTTCTTCATTTAAGAAACAACACTGAAAATCACAGGTAGAGTATTCGGAATATCTGCTTACTGATAGGAGGATTTAAATTAGATGTTAGAAAAAAGTTCCTGACAATAAGAACAGTTTGACAGTAGTACTAATTAAGTAAGGAGGTGATGGGTGTCTTTGTGTATGAGTTGGATTGCCATTTGTTGGGGATGCTTGAATTTGGATTCCTGCATTGAGCAGGAAATTCCTTATAAACTTCATGATTCTATTAACTTCATTCTTACAATTAGCAATGTTTTCCTTCCACTATATATCATATATTCAACACAGAATCCCTAACCTGATCTGCAACAAATAATTCAAGCAACTTTCAATCTTATTCTTATGAACCAGGTCTGAGTTGGCTACCAAACTACTTTTTGTCACATATTTTCTCTGCTCTTTCGGTCACTTTTTTTTTTTTTTTGGAAGTTTCATGTAAACAGCTCTAGGCATATAGCTCTCTCTCAGTCCATATTACTCCAATGCACTTGACTGCCTTAGAAGGAGCAAAGAATGTATTTTGTAGAAAGTATTAAAGCAATTATTGAAACTTAGAGACATATAAAAGTTACAAACACAGTGCTAAAGGTTAAGTGTTTTATAGCAATAAAGCAATTTCAAATAATTTCAAATAATATAGGTAGGATTTCAAGAACCACAGAAAAAGATTTCTAACCTAAAGGGATCTTTAGGTTTCATTTATTATTTTTTTCCCAAGTGGCAGACATATGGTAAACTACTTTTGAAACTTAGGGCAGTCTGAAATCCAATTTGCAATACTACAGAGAAGCCAAGAGTCCAAAGGAAAAAGCCATAAAATTCCCTTAAATTCTTCTGAGAATGCTTAACTACTATTTAAATTCTGATTGATAAAACATATACTGACATAATCATTCTTAAGAGTAGATCCACTCATTAATCATAACTAACTTGATGTTAAGATGTCAATTACAAGTGTGATTAACTCTGGTTCTATCACAGTATTATTTCTATATTTATCCAGAGTTTTTCTATGATTGTTCTATGTTTTCCTATTCACAGACAGTACATTTTGTACTACTAACACTCTTCTCTAATGTTCAGCAATATCTTCCTAGGCTGATCCACCTTTCTCATTAATATCAGTAAAACATCACTGTCACCAGTTGGGCCATATTCAGTTGGAAAATATCATTGTCACCACTTGCAAACAATGAACAAAACCCCAGGGCACAGAGCAAATATAATTTTAAAACTGTAATAATCCCAAGTTTAACATCTGAAACATATGGTTCTTATAAAATCTTAGACATGTATGTCACTGCACATACACATTCACTCTAAGAAAAGCCCCACGATGTTCAGTGAGGCTTACTCCCAAATAAGATATTATAGGTTGCAGTCATAGTTAACTTCTTACTATATTACTCAGCATTGCCCCATCATAGAATCACAAAAGAGATTCTTTTATATTCAATAAATGCCAAATGAGATCATGAAGA